GAGAACTGAGTCACATGTGCCGCTACCCAGCCGGGCAGGCGTGGGGGCAGGGAAGGACCCTTGGGCCTACCCTCTCCCCCCACAGTCATCAACGCCATTGTGGACCCCAGCGGGAACCTGGACCTGGTGACTGGAAGCAAGGCGTTTCCAGGCTCGGCCCAGCTTGCGAAGGGCCGGCCGGCTGCCCAGAGCCCGTCGGCCCGGCCCCTGAGGAGCTTCCTGCAGCAGGGTGGCTGTGTGTCCCCCAGCCTCCCGGACCCCTCCTTCCTCCCCTCCTTCCTGCCCGACTCGGAGAGGTTCCTGATCTAGGCGGCAGGCAGGGGCGGCATGCCTGTGCCCTGGCCCCGGGCCTCCCGCCCACCTGCCTGCCACTGAGGCCCCTCCCAGCTGCAGGCAGGCCGCCAAGAAGACCCCCACACGTGCCATAACCCCGTGGGCCACCCCCCCACGCCAGGCCCTCCCCACCCGCTGGGCCAGGGTCGCAGGCGTGTACCCCGCCGCCACCCTCATGTCACTTTGTCTCTAGCTTCCAAAGGAAGAGCGGTCTGTGCCGCTGAGCAGCCTCCAGGCCTGGGGCCCCGCACGATTCTCAGGCCGTGGCCGTAGGCTGTCCCGGGAGGCCCGTGCACATAACTGCCCTGTCCCTGTGCACTGGCTGGGGCCGGACCGAGTCGTGCTGAGCCGTGGGGTGGGTCGGTGCCAAACGGAGCCGGGAGGGCTTGTGTTGCCCCAGCGCTTGCAGAGGGCACGGTGCAGGCTGGCCAGGGCACTTGCCGCTGGCTTTGCTGAGGAGCCTGGCAGCTCCCAATTGCCTCTGAGTCCAATGGCCCGGGTCAGGGACATAGCCCGTGGAGATGTTTGGGGCAGGAACCCCACTGCTTTGAGCCTTTGGTGCCAACTCAGTTGCCAAACCCACTATGCGGGCCCCTGCTGCACGCGGGCCGGGGCCGAGACCAGCCACACATGGGCACTCATCCATGCTGGACACGTGCGCCCTGCCCACTGCTAGTCCCCCACATCCCTCACTGCAGAGTATGCCCTGGTGTGGGCTATGGGCCTCTGCACTCGGCTTCCGGGGGTTCTAGGCTGGGCAGGGGCGAGCACTAGAGCGAAGTGGCTGGAAACTGGGCTTCCAGAACCCCCCTAGACCACACACCCTTCCCCAGCCTCACCCCTGTCCTCTGGACGCTGTGGCATTCATTGGGTGTCTGCAGCCAGCTAGGGGCCCAAAGGCCCGTGTGTTCCCCGCCCCATGGGTTGGGGGCAGGGACAGGCCCCAGGAACAGTTTTGTTTTCTCAGGATTCTTTCAGCGGGGATATGCCGGGTGTGTGGAGCAGGGCCCTTCCTCAGGGGCTGATGTTCCTGGGTCCCCGAAGCCAAAGAGCCCGCTGGCTGTGGTGGGCGGGGGCGGGGTGCTCTGCTCTCCGCCTGGCATCTGCACGAGTGTCGACTGTGGGCCAGGGCCATGGTGGGTGACACGTCCCCGTGTTTACATTAGCTGACCCCCCATGTTTACGTGTACGTGAGTGGGGTGGGGGCCTCCGCCCCGTGACCCTCCTGTGTCCACGGGGGAGGTGCTGGCCCGAGTCTGCCACGCCTGCATGCCCTGCCCTCTGCTCAAGCCTGACCCCTGGGACCAGTGGCCCTTCTCCATCCACACCCACTCAGTGATCTCTGTAATTTTTTTATTCACAAATCCGCGTCACTGCCCCTCCCCCACCCCCCTCCCCCCGCCTTCGGTGGTATCGGTGACTTGCTGGCTTCTCTGCTCCTGTTTGTCCTCAGGTGGTCTATGGATGTCTTTCAGAAAAAGGTTATTTTATATGATTTGTCATGGAATTTGTTCTAATAAACCATTCCTCTATCACGTGGCAACGTCCCAGCATCTGTTGCCTTGGCCTCTTTTCTCCACTGGTGGTTTTGGGGGGCGATGCTGACCTTCCTGGGCTAGAAAATCTGACTGGACTCGACCAGGGACGCTGCAATGCAGAGGCATTGCCACCAGGTGGCGGAGTGGGCAAGAAAGCAAAGCAGGGAAATTTCAGATGTTTGCACCTCAAAAAAAAAAAAACTTAAGCCATTCAGCGATGTTAGGTGCAGAACACTCTTTGAAGTGGGCCATGCTGCCGACAAAGAGCGGGACAGGCATGGGACTGTGCTGAGCCCCTGGCTAGTCGCAGCGGCTCCTCGGGGGTCTCTGGCCTCGCCCACTCTGGGTGACGTCACACCACTGGATGCCCACAGCCCTGGGTCTGCGCAGCGAGGGGCAGCCGGCCCCCACCAGAGCCTGCGCGCGAGATCCTCGGCCGGCGGCTCAGGGCCCCTGTATCACAGGAGCTCTCTGCAGCACTCTGCTCCCCTCGCTGCTCCCGGCGCCTTCTCTGTTCCCACTGCTCCACTCCCTGGAACAGCTCCGTCCTGTGGGGGCCTCCGTAGAGGTGGGGCCCCCTC